CTCCGTGCATCTCTATCACAGCAGCAGCAATGTCCATTATCTTGGGTGTGTATACTGTATTGTTGTTGTTGTCGTGTCCAATGAAGAACCTCAGATGTCTCCATACATCTCTATGACAGCATTCGCAATGTCCATTATCTTGGGTGTGTATACTGTATTGATGTTGTTGTCGTGTCCAATGAAGAAACTCAGATGTCTCCATACATCTCTATCACAGCATTCGCAATGTCCTCTATCTTGGGTGTGTATACTGTATTGTTGTTGTCGTGTCCAATGTAGAGCCTCAGATGTCTCCATACATCTCTATCACAGCAGCAGCAATGTCCACTATCTTGGGTGTGTTTACTGTATTGTTGTTGTCGTGTCCAATGAAGAGCCTCAGATGTCTCCATACATCTCTATCACAGCATTCGCAATATCCTCTATCTTGGGTGTGTTTACTGTATTGTTGTTGTTGTCCTGTCCAATGAAGAGCCTCAGATGTCTCCATACATCTCTATCACAGCATTCGCAATGTCCACTATCAATTCGGATTATTGGTAGTCACTATAAAAATAAATTGAAAAGATGACATTGTTGGAATATTACACAGAGTAACAATGGCTATAGATGAGCTCGTATTTGAAAAGGAACTTGTATTTAGATAATAATTATAGTTTTTGTTGTATTCACGTAAAACCTATACCAAGATATGTTTTGTATAATTGCTATTAATAATAAATAATATGTAAAGTTTTAAATTGGTTACGGATTCATCCTACTTACTTAATTTAATAACATAATAGGTACATATTCCAAAGTACCATAAATTTTGCTATCTTAGTACGGACACTAAATTAATTTGAAAGCTGGAAAAGCACAATCTCTAACTACAAAGATATCTTTTAAATTATTTTTTTGTTTGATATATTATCACAATATGTTGGATGGGGGAAACTTAGTCCAACTACATAGGTTGTCCATGTCTCAGAATCTTTCTTGGATTGTCCCAAATATATAGTTTGTAGAATGACATTTGAGAATTATCCCGCATGTGTTTCTTTTGAAGGAAAAATCGAAATTTATTTTAATAAGAAATAACGATTATTTATAACCTTAGAAATGAAGTATGAAAGAATGAATTGTGAAGAGTAATTATAAACGGAAAAATAAAAGTATCCAGGAATGGGAATCGAACCCACAGTGTTCCGATTACCGGACAGATGTCATGTCCACTAGGCTACCCTGGACATATTCCATATAAATATATAGTTTGTTGGGTTAGAAATGATATCAGAATGATAACTTCATGGTCTCTCTATATCTCCTTCCTTTTGTGCTTTCCTCTACTGAACCAGACTCTACCAATATTTTCCCATCGCAGTAAGAAAAGTAAAAAAGGTGGGTTAATTGGTGAAATAAAAAAAAATATCGATATAATTAGGAAGAAGTTAGCTTCACTTAGTGTTGATATAATTGTATTAGGCCAATCTAACATAGTAATATACAAACCTGATCTCTATATAACAAAAATTTACCAAAGAAACTACCGTGTTGAGAACTAAATTATTCTACGTAAAATACATAGAAATAGAACAGAAGTAACATGAATGAAAAGTATAAAAACGGGACAACTTTATTGGCTACCACAAAGCAAAGGAATGAAGAAGGCAAGCAGCTGGTGAAGAAATGGTTCAAATCAATTCCAGAGAGGCTTCTTCCTTTGTTAAAAAAAAAAGCTCTCCAGGTAGGAAAAAAGGGCGGACGCTCCATTTGGACCCATGATAATCCAAATCCCCGGATGCCTCCAAATCTCTTAATTCAGACTGGAGTCCTGGCAGATCTAGCAGTCCTTTCTCTGATAGGGTAAATCGGAGGATCGAAGGTAGAATTAACTCCAGCCCTGCACGCAAACTCCCGGGGAACGCTATTTGTATGTGGGTTAGTTGTATACTTTTTAAATTGTTATTTATTAGCATCGTGGGGGGCTGAGAAGTCCATTGTTGCTATTCATTCTGCCATTTGTTCGCTTTTATTTCCTTCTTATAGCTCTTTATTGAAGTTTTGTAATAACGGTTTTTAATTTTTTGATATTTTATCTATATTTTAAAGTAAATAACGCTAAATGGTTAAATTTCTTGTTAAAATTTTTATTTTCAAGCTTTCGGACTTGTCAGTCCTTCAACAGGAGTATCACGATAATAAATTGATGATATATACTATTTTTATATACAAACTAATTTTCACATATTTAAATACTAATGATTTTGAAAGGGAGAGAAAATATATATTACATTCTTTTCTCCCCCTTTCAATATCATTAATATTTAAATATATAAAAATTAATTTGTATGTAAAAATAGTATATATCATCAATTTATTATCGTGATTATTACAATTACAATTATTTTATTTCCAAAGCGCTATATCCCGCAAGGGATACTTGTGCCAAACAAGGAGAAAGGTTTATTTACATAAGTTATTTACATTATGCAACGCATGAAAACATTAGAGATCCAGATTTTGTAGAAAGTTTAAAATGTATTTACAAAATTAATTGAACTTTAAATATGATTTTTTATCGGAAATCAAATCGTTAAGTTCACAAACAACTTGTTCATTCTTCATTCTATAATATTGAAATGCTGGGCAATAGATCAGTAGATATCTTGAGGTTTGTTCCTCAATACTACAAAAGCAACTTGAATCCTCCACTGCCTTTATTCTATTTAAAAAAAAAACATTTGAAATTTCCGTGGTTTGTAACAAATTGAGTATTACGGAGGGTGTTTCCTTTCAAATGAAACGATTTTCGAGCGCTCGCGTTTTGCACGTGCAGGCATGCTGCACACGACACTGGTTCCAATAGATCTAGAATCTTCTGGAGAATTCATTTTCATCAGGTATCATGATTTTTGCAACATGGGGGGAGAGAGACTAACGCTCCAAGTCGAACAAACAATTCGGACCCTTTCCAAAGAAGGAAACAGTTATAGCGTCATAGTGAAAAAGCTAAAAGCAGAAGGACTAGATGTTGGCAAAGCTACAATATGTAGGGTAGTAAATGGCATCGGAAAGAAAAGGGAAGCTGAATCCAATGGGCAAAAATTTCAAGTCGATCGACCACGTCCGGTGCGGACCCCCGCCACGGTTTCCAAGGTAAAGCGGCTAGCAACTACTGAAAATCCACCATCTCAGCGCCAACTTTCCAGAATGTGTGGAACATCGCTAAAAACGATAAATAACATCATTCACAAAGATTTGGAACTGGATACCCGACGAAAAGGCAAGGTTCACAAGCTCACCCCTTTCCACATGAAAAAACCGTGCAACGAATGCCCGGAAGCTCTACGAGGAAAACCTGGCCGGTTCCAGATCGGAATATACTGCAACATTGGACGAAGCATGGATGTATGTGACGTATTGCAATGGAATCCGGAAGATCTGTTACATCAAAAGAGGCAATCAGGTCCCGGATAATTGGGTTCACCAATGCTCCGAAACTTTCCCTAAAGGTTTCATGGTTGTCGGGGTAATGACTGGCCGTGGAGTCCTTCCGCTCATAAAGGTTCCATTGAAGGTGAAGGTGAACTCAGAATTCTATATAGAATGCGTTCTGAAACCTGTCATCGAACAACTGAAGGACCTTTACCCAGGGGAAATGGACAAAGTGTTCCTTCATCACGACAAAGCCTCTTCCCATACCTCCAACAAAACCCAACAGTTCCTACAAGAAATGAAGGACACCCTAGGCCTAAATTTTATCAGGAACTCGGACATTCCAGTGAAGTCTCCCGACGCCAGCCCACTGGATTTTTACGGGTTCGGTATGTTGAAACAACGGCTCTTCAACCGACGTCCCAAAACTGAGGCCGGACTTTGGAAAGCCGCACAAGAGGAGTGGTCGAATGTTTCGCTCTCCAAAGTCAAGGAAGTGTTCGCAGCTTGGAAAGTCCGATGCAGGGAGATAGCCAAGAAGAAGGGGAAGCACATAGAACACATGAAAAAAATTCACGTTCGAAAAATAAAGTTCTAACGGACGTTTGAAATCGTTTCATTTGAAAGGAAACACCCTCTGTATAAAAATTTGGACGAAAGTATTTAGGGATTTCTTGGGGAAAAACAACTTAAGAAAGTATCGTGATACTCCTGTTGAAAAACTGACAAGTCCGAAAACTTGAAAATAAAAATTTGAAAAAGAAACTTAACCCTGGAAGCTTTATTTATTTTATAATATTATAAATCAGGGGAGAACGATTATATATTTTATCTATGTTTTCCATAATAATATAATATATATTCCTATTTCTGTTTTATTATATTCAAAAAATGAAACTATAAGGTTGTCCCGTGTTTTGCATAAAATGTTATTTTTCTTATTACTTAGCGATTAATATCATTACGGCGAATACATAATAATACATAATACAAAGATATTATACATAACGGTGAATAATATTAATATTTTAATTTTTTGCAAGTCTTTACGAACTTTTAAGACAACTTTGTATTAAGGAACGAAATATATTTTCATAAAGATATTTTGAATATTGTTTGTGCGCTATTGTTCTATGGTTAATTGATGTATATTTGCATATTTTCATGTAATTCTATTGTCAGAGTTGTCCATAGTTTTCTCAAATACCATAACCAACATTAAACCTTACAGTGTTATGATATATAAATAGAATCATCCAATACAATAGTGTCCATACTCCTCGAGCTGGAATGGGTCGTAGAGTTGCAGCTTTCGTTGATCATGGTACCATGATCCAGGCACACTTTGGTGAAAGTATGACTTTGCCTGTAATTTGAGGCCGTTACTAACATGGAAACCTTTGCTGCCGACTCTAACATAAGTACAGACGCAGCTCCTCCGTATCTATGGAGTGGAACCCTTGCTGAGGTTTATCAACCAGGTCAGTTGAAGTCAGGATTTTTAAAGAGGTCTTTCTCCTCTTCCCAATACAATAGTGAAGCTCGTAAGTAACTTTACTTACTCTGATAACCAAAAAAATAAATGCCCAAACCCGGAATCGAACCAGGGACCTTTAGATCTTCAGTCTAATGTAGCTCTAAATAGCGGTATGGTAGATTGAACTGTCAACACCTCTGATAGGATTAAAAGATTACACGAGGAGCTTCTTTTTAGAATTTTTGCGAGCTTTCGAACCTTCCGGTTCTTCTACAGGCATAGATAGCATGGATATACTAAAAAAAGTTAGTATATCCATGCTATCCATGCCTGTAGAAGAACCGGAAGGTTCGAAAGCTCGCAATAAATCCAAAAAGAAGCTCCTCATGTAATCTTTTAATCCCTATATATTTAAAGTCAATTCTACTGAGTTCATGTAGCCGAAAAACCTCTGATAGGGTTTATCACTGATGAGACAAACCTCTTCAATATTTTTCACCATAGTTAAATACAATAAAAGGGATGTTTTATTCGGAAAGAAATTGTTATATTCTCGATGACATGTAGAATCTAGGAGAGACAAGTAGGTGACACAAGATGATAGTTCTTTATTTGGTCTGACTTATATCCACATGTATGATGATGATAAATAACTACATAATAAGTCAATGACAACAATACTCTGTTGTCAATGCATAATAGAAATATTAGATTATTAATAGTTCAATTTATTGACTATAGATGGTACGTTATCGTCCTAAGTTGAACTATGTCCTATGTTTGAAAAAAAAAAAATGTATTTAAAAATATAGAAGAAGTTCAAAGTGATATGATGAAAAGGAACCTGATCCTGCAACTGTGTGATGATGATAGCTTAGTACCATCTATCGGAAAATTATCTACTGGATGATGATCTACTGGATAAACATTCTCAAATAATAAAAAAGGAGTATTCAATTGATAATTTTTCTGATAGATTGCATAGGTCATCAGCAATATTTAGTTTCTAGATCAAGAGGTGCCTTCTAATTGCACTATATTTCAATTTAATCTTCTTCTCGACTGTTAAACCTTTATAAATAAAATATGAAGATATAGTTCAGTCATGATGACATAATTTAGCCGTGAAGACGCAAACATGATGTGAAGACATAATCCTGAAATGAAGACAGAGTTCTGCTGCAAAGACAACAGTCCTCCCGTTAAGGCGACAGTCTCTGTAGAGACACAACCATTCTGGGAAACCCTAGAACTGCTATGAAGACACAGTCCTACAATGTAGAGGCATCCATACTATGAAAACACAGTCCTACCATGAAGATATTCCTGCAGTGAAAACATAATCTTGTTGTGTAGAGTCATTCATACCATGAAGATACAGTTCTGCCATGAAAATATTCCTGCAGTAAAAACACAGTCCCGCCGTAAATATATAGTGCTGCTGTGAGGACACAGTCCTGCCATGAAAACACAGTCCTGAGGTAAAGAAACAGTGCTGCTGTGAAGACACAGTTCTGTCATGAAGGTATTCCTGCAGTGAAAACACAGTCCTGACGTTAATAACCAGTGCTGCTGTTATGACACAGTCCTGCCATGAAAACACAGTCCTGCTGTAAATAAACAGTCATGCCGTGAAGACACAGTCCTGTTGTGAATGTATTCCTGCAGTGAAAACACAGTCCTGACGTGAAGAACCAGTACTGCTGTTAGGACACAGTCCTACCATGAAAACACAGTCCTGCTGTAAATAAACAGTCATGCCGTGAAGACACAGTCCTGTTATGAAGGTATTCCTGCAGTGAAAACACAGTCCTGCCAAGAAAACACAGTCCTGCTGTAAATAAACAGTCATGCCGTGAAAACACAGTCCTGTTATGAAGGTATTCCTGCAGTGAAAACACAGTCCTGACGTGAAGAACCAGTGCTGCTGTTAGGACACAGTCCTGCCATGAAAACACAGTTCTGCTATAAAGAAACAGTGCTGCTGTGAAGACAGTACTGTAATGAAGATAGTCCTGCAGCGAAAACACAGTCCTGCTGTAAAGAAACAGTGCTGATGTGAAGACACAACCACCCAGTAAAGACCTAGTCCAGCCGTGAAGACACAGTCCCGCTCCGTGATCAGTCCCGAAAGGAGCATCAGGAAGGTGAGGAATAGTTTAAGTAGATGGATCAGATTTTGAAAGCCATTCGTCGATCCATCAAGCGTCAAATCGATCATCAGAGGTACTTAGGCCCGGCTCTTCCTGCGAGAATTTCACTTTTTCTTCTTGTTGTGTTTTTGATGTTAAATAGGCCGGCAGTGTGATTAATAACCCGTTGACGGCACACGTGTGCTTACCTTGCACCCTCACATTGTGACTCATTTTGTAAGGCGACTTTGTAACCAATTATCTAACTATCCATTCTGATACTATGGAAATTTACATGAATGTCGCCTCTATTAGCATATAGCGATATATATATATGTTTAAATGACACCGTGATATGGAGAGGTGAGTAGTTATGTTTGATATCAATTTATCGCTATATCCTTACCCGTTTCATTTATGCTTAATAAATCTTTGTCTACTGACATATCTCGATTAAAAGACATATTTTCTATATCACCTTTTGATTTCAAGAAACAATGTATGAAAAAATGATTTTATACTCGTATCTTACAAGAAAAACAGGCAAATCGGTTTGCCTTTTAACTAATTGGGTGTATTGCAACCTTCCTCCTTTTAGGTATATCAGTAAAAAGATAAATTTACATTTATATGATTACTTGCAATACGCAAAGATATTATAGAGAACGTGAAAGGACGTTATGATTCAGGTATTTATGAATGTTGTGAGATTATAATCATTGTTCCCGAATGTAGACACTCGAAACGTTTGCCTCAGGCTTAAAATCGGTTTTCATGCAAGATTACTAAAGTAGAGTACAACACAGTTAGAGCCGGGCACTAAACACGGTATGGTTGCAAGCGCATCGTAATGTGTTGACTGGGAGTTGGACTGTGGATGTTTCCCTGTGCTGACCTGCGTCTCAACTGATTCTCATGAAACGATACGGAAATCATCCTTTCAGCTGAACTTCCATGCCTTTATTCATCCTAACCGCCCAATCTCGAGATGTGCTGCTTGTGATCCTAGAGGAATGGCCGAACAGTGCGACCACTGCTTGGAGGATGTTTGCCTCCTGCGACATGTCCCTAGATCTGTTTCCATCCCGATGCAATACATACCAGAGCAATCTTCTTCTTCTTTCTTATCTCTACTCAATCATATTAGGGTATCAAGCTTGTTTGACAACTATCATGACTGTGTGAAGTAGAATGTGTCTGCCTTTGTCATTAAGACTGGTAACACTACTCAGTAGCAGACCGACTTAGCTCCAAAAGAAATGGCCGCCTCTGACATGAGGACCAGATGCCATGTGCAGCCGCTCCTAACATGGAGTACAAACGCTGTTCATCCTGTATCCCTGGATTAGGAGCCCTTACAGGGTACTATCAGCCGGGCCAGCTGAGCCCAAGTTTTTTTAGTGAGCTTGTTACTGCTTCCCTCCCCCTTTTTCATTCGGGCTTGGGACCGGCAAAGGCGGAGTCTTCTTTGACAGCAGTCGTGAAGTCTACCATCTCTAAATACCATATAGGGTATGAGATGGTGAAGACCAGCGACTCTATAGACCTGTCCACTTTGTGGGATAGAAATTTCGCACTCTTTCCGAGTCTTTCCAGCGGAATACGCAACTAATGAAGACTGGAGCTGTCCTCACATCAGGCCCCTCGTCCTCGAGGCCTTCCAGGTCGTCGGCAGACCTCCTGATCTACAAGCCTGGATCTTCGGGATTGACCTGGAGGACGAGGAACTGGCCATCCTCGCATCGGCGAAATCGAGAATCAACTGGTACTTCGTCCAGGTCGGGCTGGGCCAGGCCATCGAGGTCCCCGTCATCGCCTGGAGGAGGATTCTATCGCGGTGGGAAAGAACACCTGGCTGATCTTTTTCATGTAAATATTTTAAACTACTCTCCCTACTGTTGGCTAGATGTCATTAAACTGTTTTTAATTGTACTGATGAAGACCCTATTATATCTATATCTTCAATTGAAACGGCATATATTGGATCAAGATATAATTTATTTACAAATCTTTCAATTGGCTGAACGCCAACCTTTTTCAAGATATTACACTATATTTATGATAACAACAAAGTTTTGAGTTGACACATGAATATGTTAAATACCTTGAAAAAGGTTGGCTTTCAGCCAACTGAAATATGGGTGAATAAATTATATTTTGATCTAATATATGCCTTTTTAATTGAAAATATATTTAGGGATTGTAATATTTAAAAAATATATATTTTTTTACACGCCCGCGCGGCGCGAAATATGAAAATTTATGTTTATAATTTATATGTTACATTTACCTGTTTTATATATTGCTTTTTATGCCTCTATATTCAATTTTACCATGTATAATCATATATGAACGAATTTTCTATTAGTTTAAATATATATGTATAATTGTTGCAGCACATTGTTTCAATTTCAACATTGAGTTTTGTAGAATAGTAAGGAAATATGCATAGTTTTGAAACATTTCTAAACAGGATAGATGCACCAATTTATAAACATGAATTTATATTTCTCGCAAGATTACAATACAGTTAAACCTGTCTATAGCGCCCCCTCTAAATAGCGTCTTTCCGTCTATAGCGCCCGATTTTAAATGCGTAGTACGATGCGATTTACATTAAAAGTGACCTGTCTATAGCACCCCCTCTCTATAGCACCCTATTTTGGTGAGTCCCAAGAGGGGCCGCTATAAACAGGTGTAACTGTATATTATCACATTGGGAAAAAATGAAGAAAGACAAACGTGAAGAAAACAAAGAAATTAATTTTGATCAAACCTATTTCTAACATATTTACATGAAAGAACAGAGAGATAATGAAAGGTACTGAGAAACGAAATATGTAAAATAATATAATATATTGATTAATTAAAGAGGTATTCTGATATATTGCCATACAATGATACCTATGATAGAAGGAACATGTAAATGTACCAGTACGATGGAGAAAGACGTTATGACAAAGTGCGACAAGACCACCGTCCTTCTACTGGATTATGCAAAGCCGTGGCTGTTGGAATAAGCCACTCCCCCAAAGCTGATGGTTTAGAAGATTTTAAAAGCTT